CTAAGCCTAAGCCTAAGCCTAAGCTAAGCCTAAGCCTAAGCCTAAGCCTAAGCCTAAGCCTAAGCTAAGCCTAAGCCTAAGCCTAAGCCTAAGCCTAAGCCTAAGCCTAAGCTACAAGCCTAAGCCTAAGCCTAAGCCTAAGCCTAAGCCTAGCCTAAGCCTAAGCCTAAGCCTAAGCCTAAGCCTAAGCCTAAGCCTAAGCCTAAGCCTAAGCCTAAGCCTAAGCCTAAGCCTAAGCCTAAGCCTAAGCCTAAGCCTAAGCCTAAGCCTAAGCCTAAGCCTAAGCCTAAGCCAAGCTAAGCCTAAGCCTAAGCCTAAGCCTAAGCCTAAGCTAAGCCTAAGCCTAAGCCTAAGCCTAAGCCTAAGCCTAAGCTAAGCCTAAGCCTAAGCCTAAGCCTAAGCCTAAGCCTAAGCCTAAGCCTAAGCTAAGCCTAAGCCTAAGCCTAAGCCTAAGCCTAAGCCTAAGCCTAAGCCTAAGCCTAAGCCTAAGCCTAAGCCTAAGCCTAAGCCTAAGCCTAAGCCTAAGCCTAAGCCTAAGCCTAAGCCTAAGCCTAAGCCTAAGCCTAAGCCTAAGCCTAAGCCTAAGCCTAAGCCTAAGCCTAAGCCTAAGCCTAAGCCTAAGCCTAAGCCTAAGCCTAAGCCTAAGCCTAAGCCTAAGCCTAAGCTAAGCCTAAGCCTAAGCCTAAGCCTAAGCCTAAGCCTAAGCCTAAGCCTAAGCCTAAGCCTAAGCCTAAGCCTAAGCCTAAGCTAAGCCTAAGCCTAAGCCTAAGCCTAAGCCTAAGCCTAAGCCTAAGCCTAAGCCTAAGCCTAAGCCTAAGCCTAAGCTAAGCCTAAGCCTAAGCCTAAGCCTAAGCCTAAGCCTAAGCCTAAGCCTAAGCCTAAGCCTAAGCCTAAGCCTAAGCCTAAGCCTAAGCACAAGCCTAAGCCTAAGCCTAAGCCTAAGCCTAAGCCTAAGCCTAAGCCTAAGCCTAAGCCTAAGCCTAAGCTAAGCCTAAGCCTAAGCCTAAGCCTAAGCCTAAGCCTAAGCCTAAGCCTAAGCCTAAGCCTAAGCCTAAGCCTAAGCCTAAGCCTAAGCCTAAGCCTAAGCCTAAGCCTAAGCCTAAGCCTAAGCCTAAGCCTAAGCCTAAGCCTAAGCCTAAGCCTAAGCCTAAGCCTAAGCCTAAGCCTAAGCCTAAGCCTAAGCCTAAGCCTAAGCCTAAGCCTAAGCCTAAGCCTAAGCCTAAGCCTAAGCCTAAGCCTAAGCCTAAGCCTAAGCCTAAGCCTAAGCCTAAGCCTAAGCCTAAGCCTAAGCCTAAGCCTAAGCCTAAGCTAAGCCTAAGCCTAAGCCTAAGCCTAAGCCTAAGCCTAAGCTAAGCCTAAGCCTAAGCCCAAGCCTAAGCCTAAGCCTAAGCCTAAGCCTAAGCCTAAGCTCAAGCCTAAGCCTAAGCCTAAGCCTAAGCCTAAGCCTAAGCCTAAGCCTAAGCCTAAGCCTAAGCCTAAGCCTAAGCCTAAGCCTAAGCCTAAGCCTAAGCCTAAGCCTAAGCCTAAGCCTAAGCCTAAGCCTAAGCCTAAGCCTAAGCCTAAGCCTAAGCCTAAGCCTAAGCCTAAGCCTAAGCCTAAGCCTAAGCCTAAGCCTAAGCCTAAGCCTAAGCTAAGCCTAAGCCTAAGCCTAAGCCTAAGCCCAAGCCTAAGCCTAAGCCTAAGCCTAAGCCTAAGCTAAGCCTAAGCCTAAGCCTAAGCCTAAGCCTAAGCCTAAGCCTAAGCCTAAGCCTAAGCCTAAGCCTAAGCTAAGCCTAAGCCTAAGCCTAAGCCTAAGCCTAAGCCTAAGCCTAAGCCTAAGCCTAAGCCTAAGCTACAAGCCCAAGCCTAAGCCTAAGCCTAAGCCTAAGCCTAAGCCTAAGCCTAAGCCTAAGCCTAAGCCTAAGCCTAAGCCTAAGCCTAAGCCCAAGCCTAAGCCTAAGCCTAAGCCTAAGCCTAAGCCTAAGCCTAAGCCTAAGCCTAAGCCTAAGCCTAAGCCTAAGCCTAAGCCTAAGCCTAAGCCTAAGCCTAAGCCTAAGCCTAAGCCTAAGCCTAAGCCTAAGCCTAAGCCTAAGCCTAAGCTCAAGCCTAAGCCTAAGCCTAAGCCTAAGCCTAAGCCTAAGCCTAAGCCCAAGCCTAAGCCCAAGCCTAAGCCTAAGCCTAAGCCTAAGCCTAAGCCTAAGCCTAAGCCTAAGCCTAAGCCTAAGCCTAAGCCTAAGCCTAAGCCTAAGCCTAAGCCTAAGCCTAAGCTAAGCCTAAGCCTAAGCCTAAGCCTAAGCCTAAGCCTAAGCCTAAGCCTAAGCCTAAGCCTAAGCCTAAGCCTAAGCCTAAGCCTAAGCCTAAGCCTAAGCCTAAGCCTAAGCCTAAGCCTAAGCCTAAGCCTAAGCCTAAGCCTAAGCCTAAGCCTAAGCCTAAGCTAAGCCTAAGCCTAAGCCTAAGCCTAAGCCTAAGCCTAAGCCTAAGCCTAAGCCTAAGCCTAAGCCTAAGCCTAAGCCTAAGCCTAAGCCTAAGCTAAGCCTAAGCCTAAGCCTAAGCCTAAGCCTAAGCCTAAGCCTAAGCCTAGGCCTAAGCCTAAGCCCAAGCCTAAGCCTAAGCCTAAGCTACAAGCCTAAGCCTAAGCCTAAGCCTAAGCCTAAGCTACAAGCCTAAGCCTAAGCCTAAGCCTAAGCCTAAGCCTAAGCCTAAGCCTAAGCCTAAGCCTAAGCCTAAGCCTAAGCCTAAGCTAAGCCTAAGCCTAAGCCTAAGCCTAAGCCTTGGCTAAGCCTAAGCCTAAGCCTAAGCCTAAGCCCAAGCTCAAGCCTAAGCCTAAGCCTAAGCCTAAGCCTAAGCCTAAGCCTAAGCCTAAGCCTAAGCCTAAGCCTAAGCCTAAGCCTAAGCCTAAGCCTAAGCCTAAGCCTAAGCCTAAGCCTAAGCCTAAGCCTAAGCCTAAGCCTAAGCCTAAGCCTAAGCCTAAGCCTAAGCCTAAGCCTAAGCCTAAGCCTAAGCCTAAGCCTAAGCCTAAGCCTAAGCCTAAGCCTAAGCCTAAGCCTAAGCCTAAGCTAAGCCTAAGCCTAAGCCTAAGCCTAAGCCTAAGCTAAGCCTAAGCCTAAGCCTAAGCCTAAGCCTAAGCCTAAGCCTAAGCCTAAGCCTAAGCCTAAGCCTAAGCCTAAGCCCAAGCCTAAGCCTAAGCCTAAGCCTAAGCCTAAGCCTAAGCCTAAGCCTAAGCCTAAGCCTAAGCCTAAGCCACGGTTTTTTTGGTCTGCTGGTATCCAAATCCGCACTAATGTGATTAGAAGTCGTACTGGTGGCGGAGCTCACTAGGCCAAGTGGTTGGAGGATAGAAACCTTAAATTTCTCCGAGAGCGAGGTATGACCTTCACGGACGACTACTGCTTTGCTCTAGTCCAAGGCGAGTTCCTGTCGAGGGCTGGTGGGCTGATGACTGACTCGAAAACTAAAGGGCTTGGGCAAAAACGAGTTGCATATTCGGAATCAGCGTAAAAACTGCATCAGATTAACTATCTGACCAAACAAAGTAGAAACGCCGAAGATGACGATAGCCTTATGGTTATACTTCATGAAAAGCCGATGGTTTTGTTTTTAAATAACTAATTTATAATACACCAGTCGATAACAGCCGCTTCGCGGCTGCTATCGACTGGCCCTCCCGGGGGGCAAGGCAATACAGGGTGCTTCCCATTCTCTTTAGTATATTTCCCGATTGGCGCGGATACCTTCCGTGATCTACCTATGCACCTCCTCCAAAACCAAAGAACCTTATACTCCTCCTATTCCCCCTGAAAGAAACCCCCCAACATCCGTAGCTGATCTTAAAGAAAAAGAGAAGGGAAGTCTAATGGTTGCCGCACCCCCTAGAAGTAAAGCTATACCCTCATCATAGAAGAAAATTGTAATGGCTAGAATACCCTTTGAAACAACGTTAGATCCCTTCATTGATACTAAAAAACATCTAAGAATTGCCGAATGGCCAGAATTCTCTGTGAAACAAAGTTGTATCCCTTCTTCGATACTAAAAAAAACACCTAAGATTCGTGGAACGGCTAGAATATCCTTGAAAGAAAGTTCATTCCCTTCTTAGCTCCTAAAAAACATCTAAGAAACGCGTAATGGCTAGAATACCCTTGAAAGAAAGTTCATTCCCTTCTTCGATACTAAAAAAACATCTAAGAAACGCGTAATGGCTAGAATACCCTTGAAAGAAAGTTATTTCCCTACTTTGATACTAAAAAAGCAAAAAAACCGTTGCGAAACAATTATTCTTTTGTTTGGGGATTCCTGCTATCATTAATGCGCGAACGGCCCCGGTGACCTCTGGCCCCTCCCCCCTCTCCCCGGGACATGCCCTGGGGGCACGTTGAATTCCCGGTCGCGGTTGGGCGGACGGACATTAGAAATTTATATATAGTAGATGATTTCGGGCTGAAATTAAATCACCTAGTATATTTTGTATGCTCTATCCGATGGCATTCATAAAATGCCGTTAAAACAGCCAAAAATACCGAAAATTACGGTCATCTTCTCTTTATACGCCATGGACGGCCCATGGCTGACAATGAGTTTCTTTAATAACGACTTTAAAGTATATTATTTCGGGCCGAAATTAATTCTCTTATTATATTTTTTGACGCTTGATTCCAAGGCATGCTTGAAGTGGCACGACCCGTCCCTACATGGAAAAGTTTTCTACCCCCGTTGTCCCCCTCCCCCTCCCCCTCCCCCCCTCCCCCCTCCCCCCCCCCCCCCCGTTAAGCGACCTTTACCTGAGGGCTTACCAACAATTCCCGTGTCAAGCAAATTTCCGATACTCAAGTGTAATAATAACTTATTTATTCCAAAAAAAAACGATTTGAACGAAGCACAACAAAGGTTGGAAAATTGAACGGCAGAAAAGGAGGGCAGTGACGGTGGGACCGGAGCGTCTTTTGGCAATTAATGGTTGTCGTGGAAAATGGGCGGAAAGGCGATAGGGGGTATGATAAAGTGAAGATTTGATGGGGAAACTAGTACCGGCTGTCCGGTGACTTGATGCAAACCTGGCAGCGCGAGACACGTGTTCTCAGAGACCCCGCCTTCAAGGTCTGCGATTCGGGCGTCTGAAAAGTGATCTTATTCAATCGTCTATCCTCCTAGGAAGAAACTTAACAAGCTCTATCCTCCATTTATGAACGTTATGCATGTAAGTAACTCTGTGGTAGTAATAAAATAAATTCATCAGAAGCAATGGGTTGGTAACTTTCAACTGTTCATCTAATTATCCTGCAATGATTCATTTTCAGGTGCTTTTGGGGATGCAGATGAGGCTCGGTTCAATAGAACTTGAAATTCTGACGATCTTTCAAAAAAAAAAAAAACAGAGCCAGTACGGTATTGGAGCTGGTTGTTGCGAAAAGGTTTGGCTCCGTCTTTTTGTCACCAGGCTCAATAATACATGATTTTTTTGGAAGACCTTTAAAGGGATGCCGACGGCATAGGTCGATCACCCCTGATCGCCTTTTTGGCAAGTAGCCAACTGGGCAGAGAACGCGCCCGTGGGCGAGACGCAGAGACATTTTCTTTCCCTCGTGTCACCGACTACTTATGCCGTCGTTATTCCTTTAAAGGGACTCGGAAGTCAAAATTTGTGTGTGTGGAGCCTACTGGTCAAAAACGAAAGGCTCAATGCCAAGAAGTATCAGAAAAGTGATTTGGCTGCGAAAAAAACCGAAAAATTTTATGATAACCCAAATGTTTTTTGAGGGTTTAAGATGTTTTTAATCGACTTTTTGAGTGCGCGGCGATTACAGGTCGTAAAGCCTTGTAAGGCAGCAATCTCTCGATCTCGGTGATTCTCTGAGCAATTTTCATAATTAAAAAGTTTAGAATGATCAAAAATGGATGAGGATCCCAGAAAAAACGTCAACATTTTGAAATTTAAGCGTTTTCACGTACAAACATGGGCAAAATATCATTCGACACGGCCGCGTTGCGGTGGCATCTGGCCATTTGCCAGAAATCAACGCAGGGCGCCGTGGACCAGATTTCAGAGGCCCTTCAACGTTTCAAAACTTTTAAAGGAAAGGATTTCAGGCTCCAGCTCGAACGCATAATATCCATCTGGGAGCAAGTCTAAGCTTATTTGCAACGGTCACGTACCCGGAACTCCTGGTCGTTTTCAATTGTTGTCAGCCAGAACGAAAATTTGTTGGCGAAGTAATGGCAAGAACCGCGGGCGCCATTGCACTCGATGAAGGGAGTGGCGCGGAAGTCTTCGAGGCAAGATCCCGGTGAGCTGGAAATGGGTACAGTTTAAAGGTTATTTTCAGGTTGGGTGGTTTGTTATGCTGCCTTGATTAGCTTGTGGGTTTATTTCTGGGCTACCCAGCCCTTTTATCCAGCCCTATTTATCCTACTATCTATAAATAAATCATGCGTATGTGCGTGTGGGCATTTTGCATAAATAGCTCGAAAAAACAGGGTTACCAAGATATCGAGAAGGGGAAAGAATTTTAAGGCCCAGTCGAAAGGCGTTTAGGGGTAGTCGATGGTGTAAATTACTGCACGTTTCTCAGATTTTTAAGAAAATTACGATTCGTACTATATATAAAAAATAGAGTGTATGTGTGTGTGTTTGTATATTTGCATCCACTTCCGGATGTAGGTTCCGCTCATAATGGGTCAGGGAAGAAGCATTACGGCATGTTTGATACGTCATAATGATTTTCGTAAAGGTCCGTAATGGACTGGAGATGACTGCCGACCTATTAGATTTTAAAAAGTTACGATTTTCGATATTAAATTTGGCTCTTATGAAAGTGCCTTTGTTAGGGAAAATTTGCATGCGCCGGAAGTGGATATCCTATTCTATAAGCGAGAAAAGTATGTCTGTTTTCTGTGCAGCCGATTTCTCGGCCGTCAGGTCGAATTTTCGGCTGATTTTTGGCATGGAGGTGGAGAAACACGTTCTTTTTATAAGGTTTTCTTAGTTTTTCGAAATTCCTTAATTTAACTATTTTACAAGCGAAATAGTGAGAAACCCTTAACATTTTGGCCGCAACATGGTTTGTTCAGAGGCTATCTTGATTGCCCGACGGAGTTAAACTCTGATTTTCGGTGGGTCGATGGATAATGCAAATATCTCGATACAATTTTTTTGTCTTTTGTTAATTATTTAAAATAAGGTTTTTATGAGCATTTTTCTAAAAAATCCTTAACAAAATGGCCAAAGTGCCGTGGTGTCCGGGCCATAACTCGAGACCCAGATGGAATTTCGGGCTGTAATTTGGAGCACTTATGTAATCGATGGTGGGGATCACGCGCATCTTATTATTTTTACAAATTTTTGGCAGATTAAGACTAAGAAAATCGAATTTTGTAAAGTGACCAGAAGGCATCCCTCCCAGCTCTCATTTCTTTGCCGCTGCCCGGCGCGGACCCGCCCCCTAGGCAGAAGAGGCCTTTGCCGCCCCAGTTCCCGTCTGTACTGTGGTGTAGTGGATTGGGGCGTGGATTACCACGCGCATAGTCGTGGGTTCGGATTCTCGGCCAATTTAACTTTTTGCTTTTTGGTAGTTCAGCAACAATACATGTTTCTATGCTCTCGGTGTGCGAGATTTAGGCCGGGCCCTCGCTCTAGCGCCGCAGGCCAAAAAAAAGGTCGTTGGCCCAGGCTCTCGCGCCGCAGGCCAAGGATCGGTCCTGGATCCGGGCTCTAGCGCCGCAGGCCAGATCCTAGAGGAAAACCAGTAACTAGCGCCGCAGGCTCAAAGATTCTAGCGCAGCGCTGGCTCTTGCGCCGCAGGCCAAAGAATGGCTCCCTGAATCAGGTTTATGCGCCGTAGGTTAAAAAAGAAGGTATTTAAATTCATGGTTCCTGGACGGGGTCCAGTGGAAAGGGCCGCGAAGCGGTCTTTTTCCACTGGTCGCATATAAAATCAAGCGACAGAGGATATTTCTCATTTTTGTCCGAGAGATTCGCGCAGAATATGCAAGGTCTTTTTGTCATTGGGCCTAGACGGGGGCCAGGGGTGAAAAGCCGCGCAGCGGCTTTTCAACCGTGGGATACTACTAATGACTGCTTGGAAAAGTTAGATAAGGATATCCTGGAAAGCGCAGATGTGACAACGCGTCGCCTAAGGCTATATTTTTGGGCGGGCGACACCAGTATTGGTGCGGCGAGATCGACCCCCTAACTGGCGGCTATTTGGCCATTTTGTACGCCCTAACCGCAAGCATTTTTGCTTGTTTCATCGTTGAGAAAAAACGGTTTTCCTAAAGTCAATTCACGTAAAAATAATTTCGAGCGTTCGATCGCCAACCTGAGTGACTGGCCGCCGCCTTCCGCTCCGGCTCCAGTGTGCATGGCAAATGAGTAGCCAATCCACAATGAGCGCCACCCGTTCGGGCAGTTGGGAATCTGGATGGTCTGCGAGTGCACGGCGATAACGTTGGCTGGCGCTTCGCACACGGAACAGCGCGAGATGAAGGGTTCAATTTCCTGCTCGGCCACCGGCATCATCGGGATCGCGGCCGTCGTCGACAACCAGTAGCTCTTATCGTTGCGAGACGCGTAGTTGCACACGTTGTTGAAGTCGCAGAACAGGAATGGCATGGTGGAGAAGCGCCTCAGGCAAGAACCGGCGTGGCCTAAATCCATCAGGTTAACGCGATTGAAAGTCATGCTTACCAGGAGATGTTTTTTTAGTGGCAATCGAATTTCCGTACACGATTAAATTTATGTTGTGCGGAATTTTTTTGCTGATTCCGAACCAGTAGGCAAAAACTGCAAGACGATCAAATTGAAAAAGTTCTGATGCTTTTAAGGGCGACAATGGCCCAAAATGGCCGAACTTCGGAAAATGTTGCCTTTTTGCGCCCTGAAAAATAAAAAAAAACTTGTTGAATTTGTTTGTTGCGCAGATTTTCAAAACCGGTGCAGAATCAGCGTAAAATTTGGACCGCGTAAGCTTGGTCTAGTGCCAAAGTTCGATTGGCACTAAAAAACGTCCCCCTGTTCGGCTTTAGCTGAAAATCAACCAAATCGTCGAAAAAATATCCATCATCATTTTTCTAAAAAAAAACAGGTGACTTTTGAATAGAAATTTCTCACTTAGTATGCAGATCTTGCAGAAATCTGCCATTTTCATGGTTTTCGAATGTAAACAACAGAGATGAAAGTACATAACAAAGAAAGTGGACGCTCTTTCTCGCCTTTTTGAGAGCTTACGATTGATACCTAAATCTTGCAAGTCCGGGGCGAATGCGCGCCGCTAGGGTGGGTAGGTTTTGGGGTACCCTGTATAACAGCAAGTGCAATTATTGCGCGCGATGGTTGTGTTCCGCAACAACGATAGCTCTACTTACCAAGATCTTGGTTGTGCGACTTTTCGTTGCCCTCGATGTAAAGCAAGGAGTAGCCGTCCCAAAGTTTCGTTTGACCCTCCGGGCAAGTCGGGATGTCCTTGGTTTGAGAGTGCTTGACAAGCAGGAAACCGTCCTTGTAGCTTGGCCCAGGGGCCCCCGGGGCACCTGGCAAACCGGGCTGGCCTGGTCTGAAAATTATAGTGTCCGCAGTGGCGCTTAATATTAAAAAGCTAACGATTGTATATTGTTGTCCGAAAATAGCTTATCCGGAAACTAACTGTTAAATTCCACTGTTTGAAAGACATTCGGGTTCTGGACTATTAACGGAGGGGGGTATTTTCAGCAGGGGGAAACGCGATTCTGTTTTTTCAGTTATACCTGTCGTATATAATGTATTTTTATCGTGTTCTTAGTAGTTTTTGATTAATTAAGGGTTTTGGAAATTCGAAAATGTTGGCCTTTTTTTGGTCATTTTTCATGCAATGTTGACCAAAAAGCCGATAATTTTCGAAAATTTAGAAGATTTTTAAAATTGTTTTGATATCTAAAAACTATTTAAAATGCGAGAAAAATGGTTAATATTTTGTTATAGGGCCGTAGAGAGTTACAGTGAAAAATTTGGTTCTCCCTAAAGATTCCGCAACCACCCGCTAACAGTTCAGAACCGTCAAGCGATCAGCAAATTTTACATGTGGAGCCGCCTAGTAAGCACCCATGTAATTCGTGCAGAAATCCTTCAAAGAGGTTTTAAGAGGATTTAACTGGACCATTGTCGAACATAGGACATCTAGAAAAGCCAATTTTCCGTAATCGGCGCAGCGCTAATTTAGTCTTTTTGTTTAAGCGAAGTGTCAGTTCAAAATGGCAGATTCAACCTACCCTCCTGGTGGTCCATCCAGACCCGGGAACCCAGGCAGACCGGCCATTCCCTTTTCACCGAGGTTTCCGGGCACGCCGGGGTATCCGTCATTACCGCGTGTACCAGGAAGACCAGGAGGTCCCGCCGGCCCCGGTGGTCCATCTAGTCCCGGTAGGCCTTTTTCGCCGCGAATACCTGGAAAACACACGCGATTTCCATGCATATTTGCGAAAATAATTTTTCCGAAGATCACCCTTTTTCGAAATCATTTTTCGAGAAGTCATATCTCCGGGATTCATATTTTCAAAAGTAATGTTTTCGAAAGTCATATTTCCAAAAATTTGCGTCCAGCCGTCAATAGCAATGGCCGCAATGCAATAGCAATGCAAATTGTTTGAATTCCTGATTTTCGGAAACATTATTGGAAAAGATGATGGCTCGCCGTGCAGGCTGTTGCCTGTCTCAAATACACAAGCATGTGCGTTGCCTTGAGCAACCAAGTTTCGCGCCGCCCCGTAGCTATGGCTTTTAATAACAAGTACCTGGTAGACCAGGACGTCCTGCATCTCCCTTCTCTCCAGGTTGCACCAACGGCTCGGGTCCGGGGGGCCGGGCAATCCGGGCTGCCCATCGAGTCCAGGGGGTCCATCGCGTCCAGGAAGGCCGGGGACACCCAGCTCTCCTTTCATACCTGGGGCTCCGGGGAATCCTGGTGCTCCCGGGAGGCCAGAGTCACCCTTTGCGCCTGGGAAGCCTGGCAGTCCGCTCTCGCCTAAAAAAATTATATTTAGTTCGGGGCTTGAGATGGATGGGGTGGATGAGTCACTTAAGCCTGAGCCCAAGATAGGTAATGACTGGGTCGTTTTCCTTCTTTGATGCAAGTTAAAACGTACCCTTTAGGCCGGGGATTCCAGGATAGCCAGGTTGACCCGAGGGGCCAGCCGGTCCACGTTCACCCTTAATTCCAGGTACACCGGGAAGGCCTTCGCGTCCAGGCAGACCAGGTAAGCCATCTTCGCCACGTTTGCCAGGCACGCCAGGAAGACCGGATTCGCCTGCAAAGTGGGAACTCAGATTTTTCGGGACTCCGATTTTCGGGCTCCCGAGTTTCGGGAAACCAACTTTCGGGAATCGGATTTTCGGAAGTATAAGCAAACCCCTCACAATTTTCAAAATCTGAAATTTTCAGAATCTCGAATTTTCGGAATCTCGAAATTTGCATAGGCTGGATGCAGGGCGTAAGCGGGTAAGTCCTGTAGCCTTAATCTTGATCCTACTATGTATAAAAAAAATAGTGTCTATGTGTGTGTGTCGATTTGCAAGCAACTTCCGTCTCTATGTCCGGAGGATAACTCAATAGGGGATGAATTTTAGGGTCCGTATGATACATCACTAGGTGCGTAATGGCCCTGCGATGACTGCACACTTCTCAGAATTATCAAAATAAGCTATTTTCGATACTAAAAATTAATTTTTCTAAAATTTTCGGGAACCCTCTTTATTAGGAAACAATTAGCATATACCGGAAATAGAAGAAACCTATATAAAGGGATGGAAGGAAATCTTTTCATTTTTGTCAGCATTATTGAGGCAGAATTATGCAAGGTTTACAATTTGATTTGTCCGGACGGGGCCAGGGTTGAAAAGTCGCAGCGGCTTTTCAACACTGGTTCATTCTGAATTTGATTCGGAATTCGCTATGCTGTGAAGTGAATATTCTAATTTTCGAGACTCTGCAAATTCGAGATTGTGATTTTCGAGGTTTTGGCAGAGTCCCTATCAACTTCATCCCGATCCGTTGTTTCTCCTGTCCGATGCGTTTTTTGGTGCATCGCTGTAGCTAACTCCGCTGCGAAATGACTTACCCTTTTGTCCGGGGAAGCCGGGAAGTCCGGAATCTCCCTTCGCTCCTGGTGCTCCAGGATATCCGGGTTGTCCGCTATCTCCTTTCATGCCAGGAAGACCAGGTAGACCATCGTGTCCGTTAATTCCCGGCTGGCCGGGCTGACCGGGCAAACCGGGGAAGCCTTGTCCTGCAAAATCAAAATACACTTCAGAATTTATTGCATTACAGTATTGAGTGCTTCTGTTATGTTAGTCAATCGTAGTTTCCAGGGTAACTTACCAGGCAGACCGGGTTGACCAGGCAAGCCGGCATCTCCCTTTTCTCCAGGATAACCGGGTCCGCCGTCATGTCCAGGCAGTCCAGGAGTTCCAAGTTCTCCCTTCTGGCCAACCATTCCAGGTAGTCCAGGTAGACCTGGCTGTCCGGCCAAACCCTTCAACCCTGGGAATCCAGGAGCTCCAGAATTGCCCTTCTCGCCAGAACCACCAGGCAGGCCCGGTTGTCCCGGATATCCAGCATCGCCCTTCATTCCGGGCACACCATCAAGGCCAGCGTCACCGGGAAGGCCTGAAAAACCAATCCACTGACTATGGCCATGATTTTTTTAATCAACTCCTGTTGCTTAAAATTGTTTCTATGCTCTAGCTTTTGCATCTGCCACCAATGGGAGATGTCCCCAAAAGATGTAGGCAGGTGTATGGACGTGAAAAAAACGCAAACACTACGGCAAACATATTCGAATGGCTGCACCACACCTCATACACCGCCTTAATGCACCCTAACCCTCGTTGCACCTCGAACTCTTCGGTCATTAATCGTACGGCCACGATCAAATCTTATTAACGTACCAGGAAGGCCAGATTCTCCCTTTTCGCCGCGAATGCCAGGCGGTCCCATGGGTCCAGATTGTCCTGGTTCACCGGGGACACCAGGAAGTCCAGATGGTCCCGATTCGCCCTTTAGTCCCGGCAGACCGGGGACGCCATCGTTGCCGGGCAGTCCGGGTGCTCCAGGATAGCCCTAAAAGACCGAAATATCCCCTATCGAGTCTAATCGTCAAAAAAAACCAGAAAAACATACCGCTTCACCCTTCAATCCAGGGAAGCCGGGGAGCCCATCTTGTCCGGGGGCACCGGGGGCTCCGGGTCGCCCGGCTTTGCCAGGAATACCAGCCAATCCCTGAAAAGAAAAATTAATCTTTTCCGCACGTTTTCTTTTTCGATTATTACCTAGACAAAGATTATCGTTAGATCGTGAGAAACGTTAAAATAGCGTTAGAAATTCAAAGGAAGCTCAAGTAAAATTTCTCTATTGTTTAAATCGAAGACGCTTGCAATCTCTTCTTCCCTTACCTTTTCTCCAGGGTGTCCGGGTTGTCCATATCCAGCGGGTCCGGCTTCTCCTTTCGGGCCCGGAATTCCGGGGAGTCCAGGATTGCCGGGTGTTCCGCGCAGACCGGGTTGTCCTGGTAGGCCGGCATCTCCCTTCTGTCCATCTCGAGCAGCCAATCCGGGTTCTCCCTTCAGACCAGGCAATCCGTTGAAACCGCGGTCGCCTTTGATGCCGGGCACGCCGGGCATTCCGTCGCGTCCGGGCTGGCCGGGGAGTCCCGAGTTACCCTTTGCTCCTGGAAGTCCAGGAAGCCCATTCTCTCCAGTGTTGCCCTTCAGCCCAGGAGCTCCAGGGTATCCGGGTGTGCCAGAGTCACCTGAATCGGAGGATGTAAATTGCATAGGATAAATGGTTATAAGGATGCTAATGAATGGCCAAGGTGCTTGCCTTTTTGGCCTGGGACTCCAGGGATTCCAGGAAGTCCCTTGACGCCGGGGTATCCAGGTGAGCCGGGGGAACCCGGGTATCCAGATGGGCCCTGCGGTCCAGCTTCTCCCTTCAGGCCTGGGATTCCGGGTAGGCCAGGGATGCCGGAATCTCCTTTAGCTCCGGGATATCCGGGTGGTCCTTCGGGTCCACACTCGCCCTCCAAGCCAGGGGCACCTAAAACTGCTTCATTGCCCACCCCACTAACAAGATCTTTTCACTTTTTAAGCTTTTTGCTATAAATTCCTTCTTTTACACCTAGGCACACCTTTTCCGCCTTTGCTAATTTGTGCGATTACAAAACGACGATATTTAATAATTTTTCTTTAGTCAAATTGCTCTAATTATCCGCATAAAATGAGGAAGAACTGACCAGGTAGTCCAGGTTGTCCAGCATCGCCCTTAGTGCCGGGGAAGCCGGCTTGGCCGGGGATGCCAGGCAGGCCAGCGTCTCCCTTGCTTCCGGGGTATCCGGGCTGTCCAGGTTGTCCGTCGAGACCGGGCAGTCCAGGTGTGCCGGGCAGTCCAGAATCTCCCTTCAGTCCTGGGAAGCCAGGTGGTCCGGGCTGTCCGACGCCCGACGCGCCGGGCTCCCCCTTGGGTCCTTCGCGTCCGGGGAAACCGGGTTGTCCGCCGTCACCCTTCGGGCCGGGAATACCGGGTAGGCCGGGCACTCCGGCAAATCCTTTGTCGCCGGGCATTCCGGGGCCTCCAGGCAGACCGGGGGGTCCGGGGTAGCCAGTATCTCCTTTGTGACCAGGTGCGCCAGGAAGGCCGGGTAGTCCCGGCTCGCCAGGGATTCCGGCCGGGCCGGCTTCACCCTTAAGTCCTGGGAGGCCGGGATGGCCTGGCAGGCCAGGAGCGCCCTCTTTCTGTAGTTGTTGCGGTGCTGGTCGTCCGGGTTCTCCAGGCAATCCTGGCTGTCCATCAAGTCCGGGAACACCACGGTCTCCTTTCTCGCCTGTAAAAAACCGTAAATATAGTTCTACCCTTTTTTCCATTTTCATGCAAGGTCAGGGTTATCCCAGGCAACCTGTCAGCATTGATTAACTATGCTGTTAAAGGGTCGAATCGCACCGATGAAAGATTCGTTTTATCCTTTTAATTAGATTTCCGGCCAAAATGACGACATTCGAAATAACGACAGCCAAAATGACGACAGCCAGAATACCGACAACCAAAATGGCGACATTCAAAATGACGACAGCCAAAATGACGACAGCCCGAATAGCGACAGCCAGAATGACGACAGCCATAATGACGACAGCCAAAATAGCGACAGCCAAAATGGCGACATTCAAAATGACGACATTCTAAATGCCGACATGCAAAATGAGCCATAATAGCTGGGAAAAATCAAATTTTTGCATGTCGTCATTTAGAATGTCGTCATTTTGGCTGTCGTCATTTTGGCTGTCGCTATTTTGGCTGTCGTCATTTTGGCTGTCGCTATTTTGGCTGTCGTCATTTTGGCTGTCGCTATTTTGGCTGTCGTCATTTTGGCTGTCGCTATTTTGGCTGTCGTCATTATGGCTGTCGTCATTTTGGCTGTCGTCATTTCGAATGTCGTCATTTTGGCTGTTTCCCTTTTAATTAAAACTTACCGGAAAGTCCAGGAAGCCCAGGCTGTCCATATCCAGCTTCACCCTTCTGACCAGGTAAGCCGGGAAGTCCATCTTTTCCGGGCAATCCAGGGCGTCCGCTGAGGCCAGATTCTCCTTTAGCTCCCGGTGCTCCTGGGTATCCTGCGTTGCCGGGAGGTCCTTGTGGGCCCGAGGTTCCATCTGCCCCAGGGAGCCCGGGGAATCCGGCTTCACCCTTCGCTCCGGGGTATCCAGGTGGGCCGGGGCGAAGCGACAGCGTGGCCGGCTCTCCTTTGGGTCCCGGTAACCCGGGTAGTCCATCCATTCCGGGTGATCCGGGGCCTCCAGGACGTCCAGGGGCTCCCGGTAATCCGTCGTCTCCTTGATCTCCAGGTGGTCCATTGGCTCCGGGGTATCCACGCTCTCCTTGTGGTCCAGTTTGGCCCGGGTATCCGGGCTGTCCCTTCTCTCCCTTCGCACCGGGTGCACAGGCTGAGCACGAGCCACCGCGATCTCCCTTGGTTCCGGGTACACCAGGAAGTCCGGGAATTCCGTCGCGTCCGTCGTAGCCCTTAGGACCGGGCGGTCCACGGGGTCCGGGGGCACCCGGCAGTCCATTCAACGAGTCTCCAGGTGGTCCTGAAAGTGAATAAATGATGACCGGAGAATACTGGATTCTCGATAAATTTCGGCAGTTTTATTAGAGGTTGGTAGCCGAAACGCGTCACTCAGAAAAAACCCGACTACTACGACGGCGAATCTTTACCTCGAACTCCAGGAAGACCTTGTTCTCCCTTGCGGCCCGACGCGCCATCAATACCCGGGCGGCCGTCCTTTCCAGGAAGTCCAGGAATGCTTTGACCGGGGAGGCCAGGTAGTCCAGGCTCACCCTTGGGTCCGGGATATCCAGGCAGACCCGGGGAGCCCGGGGAGCCCGGGGATCCAGGTACGCCAGAGTCTCCACGATCGCCCTTCGGTCCGGGCATACCTTCCATACCCGGCAAGCCAGGCACTCCGGGCCCACCCACCGGTCCAGGGGGACCCTGTGGGCCTGGGGCTCCTGGGAAGCCATCATTTCCGGGTGGGCCGGGTTGGCCGGTTCGGCCGGGAAGACCAGGTGGACCCGGGGGCCCGTCCGAGACTTCGCCGCCCTGAAAAGTTTTGTTAAAAGGAGCAGATAGGCTCAAGAAAAATTAGCATAAAGCTGGCTCGATTTCTAAAATTAGCATAAATATTTTCTGCTCCCTCATGTCTCGCCCCATTTTTTGCATTAGCATTTTCGGTTGGCTCGAAAAGAGGGACTGTTCGAGCGCCCTAACCCTAGGACCATAGTATCCCACCGGATTGACATACAGTGTGTGTCAAAACGATAGAGCCACTCCTTTGAACGCTATTATCTCAGCCCTCGTTGAGTTTGACGCCAGGCCTGGTAGGTCTGGTAGCGCTCGAAAAGGCGCATTTTTCCATCTACTTGAAGTTTTTCAAAAATAGAGCACGCGATTTTTTAAGGCGAAGAACAAATAGAGCCAAAAAAACAGAAGTGTCAAAACGATAAAGCCACAATTAACATATCATTAACATCAGGTTTGAGCTTGCAAATTACACGCTAATTGCTGATACGAAGTTCAAATCTATGCAGAATGGCATCACCTTGGAAAATCCGGAAGTCAGAAATGGAAAGTCACTTTGGATGTTTAGTAGCATGTAATTTGCAAGCTCAAACCTGATGCTAAAGGTATGGAAAGTGTGGCTCTATCGTTTTGACACTTCTGTTTTTTTGGCTCTATTTGTTCTTTGCCTTATAAAAATCGCGTGCTCTATTTTTTAAAAACTTCAAGTAGATGGAAAAATGCGCCTTTTCGATCGCTACCAGACCTGCTAGTCAGCTTGGCGTCAAACTCAATGTGGGCTGAGATCATAGCGTTCAAAGAGGTGGCTGTATCGTTTTGACAAACACTGTATCAAAACGCATTGGCTGCTACAGTGTAATGAGCTACCATACACAACAAAGGGATTCCATTGGCTTTCTGATCGTTTTTGTCTCGGCTCCTGCACTTACTCCAGGTGGTCCTTGTGGTCCGGACATTCCCTTGGGTCCATCTCGTCCTGGGTAGCCAGCTTCACCCTTCATTCCGGGTAATCCAGGAAGTCCAGGCAGTCCGTCGAGACCACGGTCGCCCTTGAAGCCGGGCGGTCCGGAATTTCCGGGTCTGCCTTCTTTGCCCTAAACAAAAATGATTTCCCATAAGCCAAAAGCCTACCCTGGGGCCAGCAGGTCCGGGCAGTCCTTTTTCTCCCTTCATTCCGGGCATTCCGGGGATACCGGGATTTCCGGGTTGTCCCGGGAATCCACGGTCGCCAAGATTTCCTGGGTCTCCCTAAAAGGTTTTTTATCAATACCCTCCGAATGCGCGAAAAATCGTGCGGTGAGTGGAAGCGCGGAATAATGATTAGGGCGCGCATGACAGCAGCGCCTATATTATATTTTTGAAGCGCAAAATATTCCTCAGAGCAACTGAACGCGGTGAACTGTAGGCAGAACTAATTGATGCTCATGAAACCATCAACGCCAGGCTCAATCGGCAAAGTGAACGTTTTTCCAAAAAGGTTGTCACTATCCGTTTTAAGCTGGGCTAATAGTTTCTTGAAAGAACAATGGTTTTTCAGAGAAAATTATTTTTGCTTTGCTTTTTGCAGAGGCTCAGGCTTTTGCTCTGATGACAATCTTAGTATACTTAGCACCATTGCAGGTCAAAGGCGACCTGAGATCGTGTAGATGATGGTGAGCAGGAATTGCTATCAGAATCTCGAAAATCAGAATCTCGAAAATCAGAATCTCGAAAATCAGAATTCGAACCAGCGCTGACCCCCCGCTACGCGGGGTTTCAGCGCTGGCCCTCCCTAAAATTTTTGAATTTGGGATTTGAATGCAAAATTTGGCTGAATTCCCGGTCGGTCGGCGGGCGTACGGACATTAGAAATTTATATATAGTAGATTTGCAAAATCTTGGATTGTCAGAATCTCGAATTTTCAAAATCTCGAATTTTCAGAATCTCGAATTTTCAGAAACTCGAATTTTCAGAATCTCTAATTTTTAGAATCCAGAAATCTGCATAGGCTGGATGCAGGGCGTAAGCGGGTAATTGCACGCCTACGCATTCTGATTTTCGAGATTTTGACAGATTCCCGGTGAGCAGGACCGGGTATATCTGCAGTATAGGGGTCATTTCTAATATTTTTTCTGTTTCGATATTTCTAATCCGAGATCGAACAATCTTATCGAAATTTTCGTGGTGTTTCCTCTTCTCTAAATACACAACCATTTTATACTACCGCAAACATAGTCCGGATTTCATTTCAAGGGTTAGTTTCATATTAATTTAATGTAATTTTTTAATAAATTCCCCGTCGAAAAAACCACTGTTCTTTCAAAAGCAAAGCTGAGCAAACGGTCAGCGAGCACGGATTGCCTTTTCTCCCTTCTCGCCGATATTTCCCTTTGGGCCAACATACGAGCCCTTGGGTGCCGTCAGATAGTCAGCATTATTACCGGGCCTTCCGGGTGGACCGGGCGGGCCAGGATCTCCCTAAATAAATCAATGTTCAATGGACGCTACCTTTTCGCCTTTTTCGCCGGAGAGGCCACGCGGGCCCACGATCGAGCCGGTGCCTGTAAATTCGCGCGGACCGGGCGGTCCTGGAGGCCCTGCGGGGCCCATATCTCCCTGAAGAACATGATTTTGAACAGGTTGAACCTCTGCGGCATGCAGGAGCCATGCATTTGGGTTTTATTTTGCATACTCCACTCAAACGGAACATGAAAGGGCTCGAGAAAGATGCATTTGGCAAACAGCAAAGAATCTCGCACCAGCGATGGTTCAGCTCACAGCCCAGCGTGCTAACCAAATGCCAGCCCTCTGCCGAATGCCATTTTAAAATATCGAAAATATTCAAAACGCCGAAAATTTGTTTCCCCCTCTCCCGTTATCCTATGTGCTGGCCATAGTTCTCAAAAATAGTTTTTAGGCTATAAAACTTTTATGATACATTTTTTCGCGTTGTAAAAAAATCTCTTAGTATTTTTTGACGTTCTATCGATTGGCGACTTCAAATTATCAAAAAATTCAAAAATTTGGCTTCCCCCCCCTTTTTTTTTTTTTTTTTTTTTTTTTTTTTTTTTTTTTTTTTTTTTTTTTTTTTTTTTTTTTTTTTTTTTTTTTTTTTTTTTTTTTTTTTTTTTTTTTTTTTTTTGTTATCCTATGTGGTGCCCATGGATTTTGATCAATTTTTGTTTATTCGATAAACAATTTCCATTACAATATTTTGGGCTGAAATTAATTATCTTCGTATATTTTTCGGCGCTCTATAAAATGGCACTCGCAAAATCCTACAGTAATTGCAAATTTCATAATAATGAGTGCCCCCAGTTATTTTATTCCCCCCGCTATCCTATGAGTAACATGTCTTTGTTCGTGACAGGATACCATATTTCCGCTAAAATTAACTCTGAGTTTTTATGTTTTTTTTGCGATTCCCTCGAGGAGCAGGTTGTATTATCGAGGGGCGGCAATACTAGCTTGTCCTAGATTGATTAAAATCTCGAAATTACGTTTAAATCCGATCGATAACTCGATCATTTGAGCTGCTATAGAAATTCCAACAATTTTCAGTACTTTGATCTGCTTTAAACGTGAAGAGATGTACCACGTCAGCAGGTAGTTTTATTGCGTAAATTAAAGGTGATTTTCAAAAATTTTTGCCCAGAGGCCATTTCGTTGTTTTTCTGGTTGGTGTAACGGGTTAGAAGGGAGTTGTAATAGAGGGGGTTGATATTAAAGAAATAACGTTAAGTGAACGGAACTTGGCGACAAAATAATATTTCTCAAAAATAAGTGGTAGTTATTGGCAAACTAAAAAGATCGAACGCATGAGTTGCAGAGGTTCAACTTCTTGTAAAAATCTGGCGCCTCGCAACCGTAAATTTTAGCTGATCGCCGCTTTTTCAATCGAGTACACAGATTCAGATCTTTTGTAAAAACCCAAAAAAAAACGTACCGGGTCTCCCTTTGGTCCAATCGATCCGATGCCAGGGTTTCCTGGGGGTCCAATCTCGCCAGGTGGTCCTCGCGGGCCCTAAAATGCTATTGCCAAGGATGTACTTTTATGACACAAAGAAAGGGGTAGGTAAATCATGACCATATGTCCTTGCTTTATGGATCCGCCATAGATTTTTGCGCTCGTGGCGTACACGCGCCCTGATTTCGCAATTCGCCTCTATGTTCGCCCTTACGTCCCCCCGATTCGCTGGATATCTCTCACACAAGTCATCTCTGCGCTCGGCGGTTTCGACACCGTCCTTAAGCCCTTAAACTTGTTTTGGAAAAACATGCTTTCACCCATCTCTTGCAGGCATTGGTGTGAAAAAAGCAACCCGGTTTGGAAGAGAAAAATGTCGATATCCGCAAAATTCCGATAGTTTTTTAAGCGTTGATTGCACAGCCAAGCCCAAGGCTAACTATAATCCGAAGCTCTCTATCGCGATACCCTCAATTCTAGCTACTACTACTACTACTACTACTACCGATCTGACTTGAAGTCAGATCCCCGAATTAAATTGTTCTACGAAATCTTTCAATATTATGAATTTCTCAAATTTGTTCCGAAATTTGTTCTGTCTCAACTAATTTTTTTGACCGATTGGCTTAAAATATCGCCGAGATGGAGATTTACGGGATAAAATTTGGGTGATAGAGACGGTCCAGGAATACAGATTGCTGTATAGAGAATGTAATTCATTTACATTTTAGCTGTTCACTTCTGGAAAAACTCACGGCTGGTCCGGCGTCTCCTCGATCTCCCTTGGTGCCGGGGAAGCCATCGCGTCCGGGGGGTCCGGGTAGTCCAGGCATTCCAGGGACACCTACAACGACCGGATAAAGAAAAAGCTCAAGTTCAATGGAAAACGCAGAGCTTCCTATCCTCTTTCATAAGCTTTTGCCCAAGCCTTAGCCGAAGTAAGCCTAAAGGGCTAAGCCTGAGCCTAAGCCGAACAAACCTAGTCCTAAGCAGAAAAACGCGCAAAATTCCCACCAGCATTTCCTTTCTCGCCAGGCAGTCCCGGCATTCCGAAGGCGGGCTCTCCCTTCAGACCCGCGTCTCCTTTTGGTCCAGGGAAACCGGGCAGACCTGGAGGTCCAGGAAGTCCAGGCATTCCTGCCAGGCCATCCGTTCCGTTGCAGCCGTCCCAACCCGGGTTTCCGGGTGGTCCGGGCTCTCCAGGCCGACCGTTAGCGCCATCATTTCCAGGGAATCCGGGAACTCCAACGGCTCCCTGAAATTCACCCATTTGCCAGAAATCATGTGCTTATACAGGGTGTCCAAAAAAATCGAAATCCTCTAACTCGACGCGGAAGTGTCTGATCGGACGAGAGTTACACCATTCGAAAGCTACAGAAATGGTGAGTTGCAACAATCCTCAAAACCATATTTCTATTTACGCGCGCGATTTTATTCCGCTTTTAAAAACACTAAGGAACGGCTTATCCATCTAATTGACGGTTGCTTCTGGTAATTTTTTGTTTGGTGAAATTGAGGCAATTGGCGCAAATGCATATTCGGAAAAATTTCAAAATGGTTTATGGAAAAGGGCGCTTCAATAAGAGATGGGTTTGAAGATTGTTGCAAGGCTTACGAATGGCGTAAAAAAACCTTCCCGAACGACCTTTCTCCGTATCGCTATAGGCGGCCGATTTTTTTAAGACACCCTGAATAGGTATCAGGCTTTTGGCACGATCGGGTTCCATTAACTGTCAAGCTCTTACCCGATCTCCCTTGACGCCGGGCGGGCCAGGCGGTCCTTGAGCTCCCTTCTGGCCTTTCGGGCCGCCGAGACCTTCAGGTCCGGGGAAGCCGCGATTTCCGGCCAATCCAGGGGGTCCTTGTGGGCCTGGCGCTCCCTAGAAATGGGCGCGATCATTTTATGCATAAAATGGCATACCATCGAGCCTTTGTCGCCAACACAGAAACATCCGCGGTTGGTGCAATCCCGGCATTGTTGTTGCTGCAAAGGTTCGATATTCGTGCTTGTGATTTTAGGACGAAGCTACCCTAAAGAGGGCAAAGCGTATCGTTGCTCGTTGTTGCAAAAACAAGGCATTTTATAGTGCCGAACTTCATAATGTAGAAATTCCATAGTCTCGAAATTCTGAATGTCGAAACTTTTTGGTACACATAGGCTAACGGGGGAAATAACGGGGGGCACTCAAACTTTTTATATGATAAAAGTATTTTTAAATAAGCTTTTTTCGGGCTGTAAAAAAAACTCTTAGTATATTTTTCGGTCCTCTATCGAATGGCATTTTCAAAATTTCGAAAATATTTAAAACGCCGAAAATTTTTCCCCCCCTGTTATCCTATGTGCTGCCCATAGTTTTCAAAATTAGTTTTTAGGCTATAAAACTTTTATAATACATTTTTTCGCGTTGTAAAAAATCTCTTAGTATATTTTTTGATGTTCTATCGATTCGCGTTTTCAAAATATCGAAAATCTCAAAAATTTGGCTTTCCCCCCCCCCCGTTATCCTATGTGCTGCCCATGGATTTTGATCAATTTTTGTTTATTCGATAAAAAATTTCATTTACATTATTTTGGGCCGAAATTAATTTTCCTAGGGCAGTTTTTGACGCTTTATCGAATGACGTTTTCAAAATACCGAAAATGTCGAAAATTTCGAAAATTTGACTTTCCCCCCGTTATCCTATGTGCTGCCCATAGATTTTCCTCACTTTTTGTTTATTCAATAAAAAATTTCTATTACATTATTTCGGGCTGAAATTAATTCTCTTAGTATATTTTTCGACGCTCTATCGAATGGCACTCGCAAAATCCCTCAGTAATTGCAAATTTCATAATAATGAGTGCCCCCCCGTTATTTTATTCCCCCCCCCCCCGTTATCCTATGTGTACCAGATTTTAATCATTCGAAAGAAACCCGGTTAGTCAATACAGCTTGGAACCGCTAGTTTTCGCCCTGTACATTTTTACCGCGAAGATAACCTAATTCGTTGTGCGCTACCCCCGCCTAAAAACCCGGGCTGGCCTTTCGGCCCTTGGCGACGTAGCGGGCCGAACCCCACCCTCCGGGGTAGAACCTAATGTTGCCGAGTGTAAGATGGTCCCCCCGAGAGTGTCTGCGGCATGATTGGCAGATCGGAGGATGGAAGGGCTCGGCGGGACAGAGGGACACAGGCCTCTGGGCCCTTACAGCACCTCTGATAAATAGCCTGGCCGCCATTTGGCCCCCGCCGGCTGTCCGCTTCCAGATCCTCGCCTCTTACACAGGTCTATCGATATCGGCGAGCCCCCAAACCTTGGCCAGTGGGACCGTGATGAGACCCGCATCGCGGATGCAATAATGCAAAGGTAAAAAAGTTTCTCTCAAAGCGTAAGGGTGACGAAACTGAAGACTTGGGATTATCGGAGGGGGAGAAATATCGCCGTTGGAAACTTAAGTTTGCTCTAGTGACCGATAAAGTCGCGATGGACCTAGTAATGTCAATAAAATATTTGCTGCTCTGCCGAGAAAGATTTAACTATATTGAACCGAATACTATCTGCAAAATCAACCAAGAACACTTTTGAGCATTTGAAATTTTGGTGTAAAAGCTTTTAACGTTTGCAGGTAACGAAAGCTAGTTTTCTTGACAACTTCCTCTATTTAAAATACAAAAGTTTGATTCTATGGAAGCAGTTGTGGAATGATAAAAATAATACATAATAGAAATCATAGTATAATAAAATCACTTACCGATAGTACGTGCGTTACAAACAAGCTGGTCCCAAGTAGCAGCAGAGGCCTGGAAATCGGTGAATAATCGAGGAGCAAGGCACGAAAAGTTTTCATGGCGTTTTTAACTGATTTTTACCCAGAAATGTTTGTGCTGGGGGGAATTTGGAATCTTGAACCATCGCTCAAACCGGGTGGACCAAATTTGACCAAAACCCTAACCAAAAATATCAATTCTCTAATTTTAACTTCTATCAAAATATCTCTAATAATGAAATTTATTCAAATTTTCGCAGCAGGACGAACCTATTGTGATGGTATATGTATATACTATATGATAGCATCAGGGTTGAAAAGCCGGTTCGCGACTTCTCAACGGAAAGAAATACCTATAGATATGGCCAATAGTATTTTTTAGACATACACCACGTATTAGAAATAGGCAGGTAGAGGAAGGAGAAGATAAAGAAATAAGTTTAGGATAGGATAGTCGGATAAACTTATGCAAGTCGAAATCAGGGCGCGCGGATGAAAGAATTTATCGTCATAAAAACCAGAGCGAAGTCTAATAGGATATTCGCTTGGACCTAAAAAGAAAAAAGCTAAAGAAGCCGAGAACTTACCACAAGGGCAGCCGCATTGTGGCTCCGCGGAGACGACGCAAATGTTGCGCGCGTGTGCCGGGTGCGCCGTGTCCGTGGTGGGAATGGCCCGGGGCGGCGGGGTGCCGAGTGTCTGGAAGGAGGAAAAAGTTGTCTTGAGGATCGGATCCGATCGAGACCCAGTCAAATGGGGAGGAGCGGATTGTGGAGCGGGAGAGAGCAACAGAGAGTGCGAGAGAGAGAGAGCGAGAGAGAGAGAGAGAGAGCCAGAGAGAGAGAGACCCAGAGAGAGAGACCGAGTGAGAGACCGAGAGAGAAATTGCAAATACGGGGAGCAGGAGGGGAGCAGGAGAGATCGAGGGTGTCAGCGTTTTCGGTGCAGCTGTGGCCCCACCGGGCACAGATGCGGCTGTCCCCACGCTCATCCCGAGGACACTGGCCAGACCCCAGCTACGGTAAGGGGGGACGGGCCTTAGAAGCGGTCGTAGGCGCACCCGAGGAAGAAGAACAGGAAGTTTTGTTTATTATCTTATCCGGCTTCACAGGAAAACCTTTTCGGGAGAGATTGAGCCGATCAGGAGCGAGCAGGACCCCTCTATGCTAATTTCAAAACTAACCCCAGTTTCGATTAAGAAGCCTTTCCTGATCCCTTCAACAATCAAACAAAACAAAAACAACGATTTTAGTCAATCGTTGTATTTACGCCAGCAGTTTGAGTTGTCAGGCATCCTGCACAAAACGGTTTGAAAAGAAGAAAGGCATTTGAGGCCAAAAATCTCTTAAAGTGATAGAAAGGCCAACGTACAGTAACGGACAAAAGTTTATCACCCTCGTTTTTCCGACCTTCTAGAGCGATTTCCCGGAAATCCCCGGCCAAAAGACTTCCAATGACAATTTACTAGATGTAAAATTACACGCTGATTCCGAATTTGACACTTTTAGAGCCGAAAAATTTTATTTTAAGGGTCAAAATCGCGAATAACTTTTTACCCTAAAACACGTTCAAAAACAAACTTTTTCTGTGACGTTTTCGAGGTGCGCCATTGTGATATTCGGAATCTCCGATGTCAAATTAGCCGGAATAAATGTTTTCCGGATTTTTATTGGGTGTCTAGATACCATTTCCAGAAATCGAGCAGTTAGCCTTCGACGGGCCTTTAAAAAAGATTTTTGGCGTATTTCAATAGCGGATCCGTTTTCTACAGGGTCGATTACATCAGGAATAGTGTGTTTAGAATGCGAAGAAAACAAAATGATTTTTCTAGAAGCATTTGTTTAGAAAGCGCAACCGAGAAAAGTCATGTTGTGGATAGGAGGGCTCGAAACAGGTAAAAAACGATTTTTCTCGGGTTTCTTTTGTATCACATCGGAAAGAGCACTATCGAATGTGTAAGAAAACATTGTTTATGGTACGAAACAGAGACTTTCATTTTTGGCCATTTTGTTAGGTGAATCGCCGCACCCGGGGCCTCATTTTTTTCGGTCGTCGACGACGATTCTTATTCTTAATTTTCTCGACTGTTGGAATCGCTAAAAAATTTGGAACGAATGTATCTTGGGTAATTCGATAGTGTAGATTCCGAATTTGCTAACGAAAAGTTGCGAAAATGTCAGATTAAAAAGTTAGCATTTTTTGGTTTTTGGGTTTCTGGCGGCTTCCGATCAATAAATCTCGGATAGTTGAGAACATTTTGTTCGTTGAACAATGTTTTCTTACACATTCGATAGTGCTCTTTCCGATGTGATACAAAAGAAACCCGAGAAAAATCGTTTTTTACCTGTTTCGAGCCCTCCTATCCACAACCTGACTTTTCTCGGTTGCGCTTTCTAAACAAATGCTTCTAGAAAAATCATTTTGTTTTCTTCGCATTCTAAACACACTATTCCTGATGTAATCGACCCTGTAAAATCCGGATCCGCTATTGAAATACGCCAAAAATTTCTTTTAAAGGCCCGTCGAAGGCTAACTGCTCGGTTTCCGGAAATGGTATCTAGACACCCAATAAAAATCCGGAAAACATTTATTCCGGCTAATTTGACATCGGAGAATCCGAATATCACAATGGCGCACCTCGAAAACGTCACAGAAAAAAGTTTGTTTTTGAACGTGTTTTAGGGTAAAAAGTTATTCGCGATTTTGACCCTTAAAATAAAATTTTTCGGCTCTAAAAGTGTCAAATTCGGAATCGGCGTGTAATTTTACATCTAGTAAATTGTAAATTGGAAGTCTTATGGCCGGGGATTTCCGGGAAATCGCTCTAGAAGGTCGGAAAAAACGAGGGTGATAAACTTTTGTCCGTTACTGTAGATCAGAGCTCATCTACAATTGGCAAGTTGCCGACCGGCAATGCTAACGCAAAATACGAGGCAAAGAGTGGGGCCAGGTAAGAGGGAGCAGCGACGATTTATGCAAGTTTCGAAATGACAACAGGCTTTATTCTTAATTTATCCGAACCTCCCTGATCCCGTGAAAGTTTTAAAGTTATCTTTTAGTTATCGTTGTTCCTTCTAGATTTATTAAATCTCAAGAGCTAGACGAGTATAAATGATCATATCTAAATATATGTAGATAGGCGAACCATGGAGAAATGATATTTTCGAGTCAATTATGGATCATGATCAAATATGCGCATCGCTCGGAAAATCATCGCCGGGGGCGGCGAACATTTCCGATATGCCGAGAGCCATAGCTCTGACAAAAGGCTCGCCGTGCCTAGACTAAGCTGTGGATTCTCTCCCAGTACAAATTGATATGGCTCAAGGGATCGCAACAGATGAGTCAGCGATTCAAGGGGCGGATCGGTGCTTACCAGCAAAAAAATGGCGTCGCAAGAAAATCGTGCCGGGCTACGCTGGACAGCTGTGGGCCCTGGACGTTAGCTTTTTGGAAATAAAAATGAGCGCACTGGCAGCTGGGCGCCCCTTTTCTTGACATTATAACTCTTCTTGGGAACGGGATCGCTGTAAACCGGGCTTGATCCGGTCGCAGAGCTATGGAAAATGGGGAATTGGGTGAAATTCGGGTTTAATAGTTTCCGTACGAACGGCTGCTAATTCCGAAGCGCGGTGAAGAGGCGGCTGCGTTCGCATGTTAGGCTCTGCCGAGGCTTATGCTTCCGCTCAGACCTTTGCTCAGGTTTGGGCTTAGGCTCAGGCAAGGCACATTCTTACACCTAGCCTTAGGTTTTCGGATCTAGATCCTTCAAAATTTTTGAAAAAGCTTTACAAGGCACATAGGTTATTATACCGTTTCCTCTAATCTAGCCTCAAAGAATTTTTTCGAAGTTGTCTTTATGAATTAAAAGATGCAAAAACGTGTCTTTTTTTAAGCTTCGTACTGCATTCCTGAGTGTTTGTGGGCAGCTTGAACTTCTAGAAATCGTCGTAATTGTTCAAGATCACGAAAAATACATCCTTCCCTCTGATACAACCCCCCTCTCCTGAAGTGCTTGAAAAAATAGAGCCCCTGGGTTATATTAGAGGAAATACGGTATCTTAAAAATCCGAAGATTGCCCAGTTGCAATTATCTAAGTTGAAGGAGCTTGCACGAAAGTGCATGCTAGCTCGATCGACGGCTGAACTCGAATTGTTTACGCCCCATCCAGGGCGCCTTGCGTCTTACGCTTATAAACATTAAAAGCTGGCGGAGCCAGACTGCCAGCTTAAAACTAGCAAGCGGCCAGAAGTAAGGTGTTAAATTTGCAATAATTGACCTTAGCTGCCTTAATATAGCAAAATTATCTCTCTCGCAAAGTTCCTTCAAGATGCAAAGAGTTTGAGCTTTGAACTTGTTTTAGCTTTGGCTGTACCGAGTTTTATCGCGCGGTTTGACCTGCTAAAAATCGTAGCGGTTGCTCGGATATACAAAATCTACAACACCCCTTTCAAGGTGATTGAAAAATAGAATGCCCGGCTCTGGGTCTCGGCTAAGTATGGCATATCAGATTGGCGCCAAAGAATGGGCAATAAAATTGTTAATTTAAAGGGCTAGTGTCAGCCTAACGCGTCAGGATTCCTGGACCTTTGCCAGATTTGACTAGAATTGCGCCCCGAAGAGCCCGTATCAGCAAATCAGCGCACTAATGGGAGGCTGCGAGGCGCGCAGATCTGATAACGCGTGCCCCTTAGGCCATGTTTTGGGCGGGAAAGGGCCTTTTTGGAGTCGTGAGGGCGCAACATCTGCTAAATTCCAGGAATCCAAGTAGCACTAGATTTCTGCTTGCGCTCCCTCTTTAATTAGGTTAGATCGTTGCAGTAGCCCCGAGAAGGCCGAGAGATGATTGCCGAAGGTTGGAGTATTCAATGAAAACGCGAAATATCAAATTATCTTGTTCTCGATGTCGTAGGCCTAAGAAACCGGCAATGAATGCGCTGAGACTTCCCGGTCCCAAGGTATCCTTATCCATAAGCGACCAATCTCCGCCTAGAACCTCGGGCAGCTGCCCTTGCAGGGACCCGGGTGGCGCAAAGAAGCCACAGTGTGAGTCAGTCCAAGCAATCGTACGAGCTGGAAGGTGCTGGCCAGCGCCTCAGGGCAAATTTGTTACAATCTGGGGCACTGCGGGGCCCACCGAAGCTCCATGGGGGAAGCTCCCGTCTAGTAAACTCCCGAAAGGCGCCCGGACATTTGGCCAGTAGAACGCAGAGTGGTCATATTCGTGAAATGTGGAGAAAGCGCTCTGACGTTTCGTTTATCGAGGCTGTCCCAAAAAACCACCCATGCCACTTGCATCCAATCGGTCCCGAAGTTAGGCCGGAAGATGCAAGCTGGTCCAAAAATCATCCTCACTTACAGACGCGTGCATGGCTCAAGTAAGTTTCCAGCTCCGCCCAAAAAGTGTTTTCCACCGCAAATATTGAAAACCCAATCTCAATCTTGCAGAGTAGAATTTAACGGTTTGGATGATACCAAATGCAGCTATACCACTTTCCACAAAGTCGCCAACAAAAGCCACCTCCGTTTTGACACTCTTTGAACTTACTTTTCTTGGCGATTGATATCAGTCGAATTGCCGTGTTCTATTCTAAAGTTGGAACCAGCTTTTATTCTAAAAAAATTCACTTTAGTTTTTGAAGTTATCAGGCGTAGAAGCTTTGGCCCCATACATTTTCGAGTCGATAGAAGTGCCGCGTTGCTTAGGGCCTAGTTGCCGCTCATTCTGGGCGCCAGCGTTTATTTAGTTATTTTTCGTGACGTTTTAGAAGTCTCGTTTCACTCTACAACTTTGGCATACGGGTTTTATAGAGCAGTCTTAATTGGGAGTTATATGGCTAAGACATACACCGCTCCACATAAATTTGTAGGCACCCCAATTTTTTGCCTAGGGAACTCGCAGGTCATTATAGCGCTTTTATCCCAATTACCCAATACTAATTGGGGTTTGTGAAGCTGAAAAAACTTGTGAGATTTTTACGAAACCACCTCTGAAATTTAAAAAAATTATTTTTCTGAAAATCAGGTTTTGGCCGATCCACAAAAATATGTAGGCAGTACCATTTTTTCGCGATTTCCGGATTCAGCGTCATTTTTTCACCTCGATAATCATCGGGGATGGTTGCTGGTGATGCTCTTGCTTGAGCAATTACTTTTTTTTAAACAGACACAGTAAGCTCGTGCTCAAAGCGCGAAAAATCGTCGGATCACAAAGTGCCCTGTCGACGAGGTCGTTTTAGCGGTGGGAACGACACTTTCGCAATGTTACCGAGCGGATGTGATCCACAGAGGCCTTCCGACCAGAAGCAGATGCATCTCATGCCTCAATTCCGCGTTTAAAACGCAAAACTCCCTGAACTTGTTTCTGGCCCTACCGTAGCCTGGGCCTAAGTTGGGGCCAAATTCTCCTTCTGAAGTGACTTCGATCTAGATCCAAGTCAGAACAGCGTCAAAAAGCGACTGTTCATCCGTAGGGGATGCATCGAGCTCGATTTTCAACAAAATCTAGCCGCTGTCTCCGACAAGGCGCCAGCATCAGAATGGTTCAGGGAACCGGATCTTGGAAATCGCTTACGGGGCAGTACGCGCGCGAATAATGCTTCCAAATTCCAAGTAAATTGAAGCGCCTTTGCCATTCGCCGGATCCTGCGGTGCCAAAATCCCTTGAGCTTTTCAGCTGAAGAATCCCGAGATGTGCATGTTCCAGTACCCGGTTCTGTGATGGCTTGGACCCGTCCCCGGTCGATCTCGATGAAAATCGGGCTCGATGCGTTACGTACGGAAGCATACAGGTCATGTCACGAAGTTACAGCACAAACCGAGTTTGAAATCGCTTGAAAAGAAGAATTTGGCCCCAACTTAGGCCCAAGCTACGGTAGGGCCAGAAACAAGTTCAGGGAGTTTTGCGTTTTAAATGCGGAATTGAGGCATGAGATGCATCTGCTTCTGGTCGGAAGGCCTCTGTGGATCACATCCGCTCGGTAACATTGCGAAAGTGTCGTTCCCACCGCTAAAACGACCTCGTCGACAGGGCACTTTGTGATCCGACGATTTTTCGCGCTTTGAGCACGAGCTTACTGTGTCTGTTTAAAAAAAAGTAATTGCTCAAGCAAGAGCATCACCAGCAACCATCCCCGATGATTATCGAGGTGAAAAAATGACGCTGAATCCGGAAATCGCGAAAAAATGGTACTGCCTACATATTTTTGTGGATCGGCCAAAACCTGATTTTCAGAAAAATAATTTTTTTAAATTTCAGAGGTGGTTTCGTAAAAATCTCACAAGTTTTTTCAGCTTCACAAACCCCAATTAGTATTGGGTAATTGGGATAAAAGCGCTATAATGACCTGCGAGTTCCCTAGGCAAAAAATTGGGGTGCCTACAAATTTATGTGGAGCGGTGTAGTAGCCTCACGCATTTCTGTACCGATAGGAGTGTTCGTTAGCCGCTAAATCAAAAACGGGACGCCAATGCTTGGAAAACTATTTTTTTTGTCTTTTGAACAAAAAATCCGCCAGCGAGCGGACCCTTCGTGCACGGGGGAAGTGCATCCTATCAATCAGGCGACTTCACCCAACCTATCACTCAACGGGGCCAGAAGGCGCCTGTGCTTCGCTCTTTGTAGACCATTTATGAGTCATAGCACGAATTTGCAAAAAAACATCACAATAATCCTAGGCAATTCACATATAAAGCATTGAGCTGAAATTTAGACGACAATCGAGATCATGTTTGTAGCTTTTGGAAGGCGTAAAAGAGAGTTTAGCTGGGAGGCGCGCCCTACTCCTCGCTTGCATTAGCACCTCTCAGGATTGAGAATAGCTTGGAAATGCAAAAAGTTACAGAATATAGTTCTCTCCAGGATCACAACCAGCCAGGCTGGATTTGGAGGATACCTGACGTTTCGATGCACAAAAGTGCACCACGTCTAGGGGTCAAACTCTACGTTAATAAATATTAGGTTGAAACTAAAGTTCGTGCAATATTTTTCATTCTTTTTAATTTTCGGACCGAAAAACGAACAAGAACCAGAATGTGTTTTTTTCATGAACCGCTAAACAATCAAATACTCTATTCGATGCGTGGGGTGGGATCTCGTGGCTTCCACGCCACACTTCAACATTTTTCCAAGCTGAAGTTAAGCAAAATGAAAAACGCTTCCGCACGCCACTACAAAATCAAGTCGCCGTTTTTTTTAATTTGGTATGCAGCCAGTAAATATTACTTCTTATTATCGTGATGATCAGTTGCTGTGGTGACTTTATGGCGGTTCTCAAGATGCCCGTCTTAGAGGTTTGTAGAAAAGAAAAGAAAGATTTTAAAAATAACTGGGTCTACAAACCTGTAACTTTCGTCCCACATACTCATGAACCCCTTAGTTATATGACCAGAGGGAACATCGGTATCTGCCCACGAAATTTTTAGAATGAAATTGCCAAAGTTCGATTGCACAAAATTTAGTTCCAGCCTAATAAATTCATTAGGGTGCAGGCATGCCGGAAATAAGTCGGCCTCCAGAACGATGTTGTCGGTACGTTCCTGCACCGGACCGACATTAAAGAGGGCAGTTAGATCACAGAATTGGGGCACAACGCTATCTGGGAAATGGCTAAATGGCTTGTTTTGAGCCTAATCTATATCCATGTCATATGGATCGAACATCTCGTGTAGTTCGCTGGCCGCCAAATGTCGGGCATCGCAGATGGCCATCCTCATGTTGTCGATGCCGATTGCCGCCCGGCCTTCTGCCCGTCCACTATTCTGCGCCACGAGGAAGAACTGACGAATTAGCATTATTTGTTACCTTGGAACCGACTCTTACTGTAGGAAGAAGCTAATGCACTTGGGGGGCGGTGGGGGGGGGGGGCAAAAGTGAACTCTTAGCTTCCTTCTGGAAAAGCCGACGTTTCAAATCAGCTTTATAGAAACCAACGACAAGCCAAGTTGAGCTTTAGCTAACAAGGAGACGTTTTTCGGTGTGAATGGAGTTCTGAGTGGAAACCAGGCCTATTTTGTGCAGAATTTTGCGCCAATTCCGAATATGTTTTCCATTTCTGCTAAATAGCTCGATTTCAAAAGTTATAGCAATTTTACGATCATTTTAGCCCAAATTTTCCCCTCTTTAGGGACCATTATATAGCTTTTCCCGGCTGTTTTTCCAAAAATAAATATTGTCACCGTATTCAGAAAAATTTTCTCTATCGAATGAGCTATTTAACTCAAAATTGTTGAAAATCGAAAAAATCGACGATACTTGGTATGGGCTGCGATTTTTGTATGGGAAATGGAGAAAAACAGTCTATTTCTCACCCCTGTAAGCCATCGTCGATCGGCAGTAGCGCACTAATCAAATACACCATTCGAATCAGAAAAAAATTTTCTACAAGATAGGCTACTTAAACAAAATTAAAACGTTGTAACAAAAAAGTAGCACAGCATAGCATATGGCTACTCTGGGCCTAAAAAATTATCTTAAAATAGCTGTAACTTTTTAAATTGAGCTATTTAGCAAAATTGGAAAACAGCATCGGAATCAGCGCAAAATTCTGCCCAGAATAGGCCCGGTTTCAACTTAAAACTCCATTCACACTGAAAACCGTCTCCTTGTAAGCATAGTTAAGGCGGGGTTAAGCCTTGGCTTGAAGCAAATACCTAGCAGCGTAAGTCTCCCAACGCCAACACAGAACTACCCGTCCCAAGTGCGTCGTCACTAGTGTGGGCATTTGGCTCGGCTCGAAATTCGAGCCGCTCGAAATTCGAGTTTGGCTCGAAATTCCGCTCTTACCTCCGTGCAGTGGGCCAGGTCCACGTCTTTCGCTTTTTTGGCAAGGCTCGGCAAGGCAGGGGCGGGGTCGGCTCGAATTTCGAGCCGAGCCAAATGCCCACACTAGTCGTCACCAAAGGGTGCTTTTAAGTTTTGTGGGGTTTGCTTAGACTTTCGAAACCCGGATTCCTGACAGCCTGTTTCCCGACAATCGGATTTCGGAAAATAAAGATTCCCGAAAATTTTGCTACCGATTTTTATGCTCCCCGTCCCTATACATACCCAGAAGTCTGTTGCTAGTTTTTAGGAGTTCCGGTTTTTCGAAAACCGGGCTTCGGGAATCTGATTTTTCGTGATTCAAACTTTCCGGGATCTTGTTATTCGAGAGGCTGATATTTCGGGAATCCTACGCTAAACGGCCTTTCGGTAAACGGATTTCCGGAGTCCAATTTTCGGAGTTCTCTTCGGAAATCGTTTCGTGGTTTCAGCGTCCCTTGATTTTTGACGGTAAAGTATGTTAAGCATACCCTGTCCTCAACAAACCCACATTGGTAGTTCCGGGTGGAATCTGTACGTGAACCGTGTTCCACCGTTGTGCGTTTCGCGCCGTTACCGACCGAAGGATCGAGGGGCATTGTAAGAAGGCTGAAGCGGTACGCATCACACCAGTGTAGCTACTGCCCAAGCAGAGCCTATAAACTCGGAACGTCGACCCAATAGTTTGGTGCGGCAGTTTTCCGAGGATAATTTGCATCGTCTTACCTAATCGTGGACATGTGGCTAGGGCGGAAGTATTGAAAGAGTAGAACATTCAGCGACCGTGTCGCGTTGAACCGTGGTGACTCGAGTATGGCTATGTCGCCGGGAAACAGCACGGCAGACACGAATTGCCCATTGCTGTGCGCTAAAGGACAATAAAATTCAAGGGTATATGTCTGCTACGCGGGGGGGGGGGTTGAGGACAGTATAGACATGCCTTTTTTTGTCATCTTAAATATACATGGGTCGACGCTTGCATGCGCCGCATAAGCATGGCTGGCCACGCTGTTCCGGAGCGTGGAGGACCACGCTTATGCTTAAAGACGCGATCAGATATTGACTCGAAAAATATACCCAAAGTTTTAATTTTAGTCGAAAGTAAAGTAATCTCGAAAAGTAATGTAATATACAATAGTTATGACAAAAAAAGTACTAAACGCGGATTCCACAGAACACATAGAATAAAGTGATTTTTCGACTTTTTCGATATTTTCAAAATTTCTTTGGTGCCATTCGTTAGCGTCGAATGCTAAGAGTTTTTTTTAAGAAAAAGGTGCAAAAATAGTTAGGTCCGCGCCAAAAGATGGTCCCATAGATCCCCCGCATAACATTGAAGGACGATTCCCACGATGCTTACTTGGTCGAATGTCGGTTGAGGCACTTAGCGGAAATCCATATCCGCGGTTCCTCAGTGTCCATGGCACCTTGGTCAAGCCGTGGTTCAGGTAGTTACATGCGTTCTCTAAAAATATATTGTTGATTGCCTGCTAAGAGGGGGATGCCGACCATCAAAGTTACAGTTTAGCAACGAGCAATAGTTTCCAGCGGGCATACCGGACGGGATTTCGATATATTCATCCGGTCGCACCACTGGACGGATAGTTGTGGTGCGCCAGGGGAAGGTCCGCCTGTAAATTGCTATGAACGTGGAAAGGTATTCACTGCCACACGAATACAAGGATAGACTCACCGATCAGGCGCTGGCCTCGTATATTTTGTGGATCTCGGACGGTAAGTGGACGCAGAAGCCGAGTTGGTCGTTGGAAGTTCCGTAAACTCTTCATAATCCACCTAATGCAGCCAGATTAAACACCGTAGGCAGCCAGATCTCTCTCTCTCTCTCTCTCTCTCTCTCTCTCTCTCTCTCTCTCTTTCTGGATTGCCAGTTCGAGCAAGCAAGCGGTTAGGTGAGCTTAAATATATCAACCGTTTCAAACAAACCTCGGGATCGGGCGTGGTGCTTGGGAAAGTAGCCGTTGGAATGGTTGACCTCGTCATTATAGGCCTCAATATCACTCCATTGACCCTAAGTAACGTGGTTTGAACTATCATTCCGAAGTTAGTGACGTTCGTTAGAAGAAGAAGACGCTGTCAATGGTTATATTCAGGCCCGTAGGGGGGGGGCAGAGGGACGCCGAAAAATATAAAGGGGGACCCTAATGCTTTGAAAAATGGGCGGCAAATGGCAGACGTTTGTGAACTTCTGCCCCCCCATTCAGTTGCCCCCTCCGAAATTTGGTTATATTCCAATATTGAAGCACTCACACCGGCCGTAACGTTTTTCGCGCCGCTTCGGGTATGGGCTTCTCGTGCGGCATAATGACGCCGGTGGGGAGTAGAATCGTGGCTTTCGTGATGGATGGCGGCACACAATCGCCAATGTAGGCGATCTCATCAATGATCAAGTATTTATTCTGGACGCCGCGTGGCCACTGCGGTACGAGGTTCATCTGGAACGACAACGATCTGTGAAGGGGTGGGGCAGACCCACCGTGAACGGTTCTTTGATAGACTTCGGGAAATCGAATACGGCCAACGTCGGATCGATGCCGGTCTTTGTGGATTGGTCAACGCAATCTATTCGATTGCTATCCACTCCATAGCCAAGGGCACACGCCTGTAGCAGAACGTCTCCGTTACTCCAATAACGGAAGAGAAGCTAAATTTTTTTAGCGTTGCCTTGGGTTTGGGATTCGGAACTTGCAGCAGTTAACATCAACTTCCGGCTCTAAATCCCTCATTCTTCTAGCAAGGGATCGGAAAATACCGGGGTTGGAGTTTTGATATGGGACCAAGCGGATTCTATGTAATCGACCATGTTGATCACGGTGGCGTCTTTAGAAAATCCGGAATGGCCTTGGTTCTCCGGATATTCCGCTTCAAAGTTGGCCAAAATTTTTGGAAAAATGCGCCATTCGGCCGGTCGAAAACGCGGACGGACGCCGAGGAGCCCCTTCTTATCCGCCCCACGGATGCCTCTCCCCCTCGGCTTGCTGGCGCGATGGTAAGGTTTCAGGTCTCTGGTGCGGAGGGTCACTGGTTCGAGTCCGTCCGCGCTCGAATTTTTGCTTTTTCAAGTCGCGCTTCGCGATTACAAGTTTTTACTTCAGAATTTTTTATAACATTTTGGATAGTTTTTAACGCCATTCATTTCCCGCTGCGAGGCCGGCCGGGAGTCGGGATTATTATGTTTCTTATAGTAAAAAATTCGTTAAAAAATAGTGAACGTGTAAAAACGGCGATTCAACCCTACTGAAACAACCAAATAATATTTCGTAAAAAATTCTGAAGTAAAAACCTGTAAAATTTCACGAAGCGCGACCAATACTTGTAAAAGCAAAAAATTCGAGCGCGGACGGACTCGAACCAGTGACCCTCCGCACCAGAGACCTGAAACCTTACCATTGCGCCACCAAGACGATGGGAAGAGGCATCTGTGGGGCGGATGAGAAGGGACTCCTCGGCCTCCGTCCGCGTTTTCGACCGGCCGAAGGGCGCATTTTTCCAAAAATTTTGGCCAATTTTGAACGGAATATCCGGAGAACCAAGACCATTCCGGATTTTCTAAAGAAGCCACCGTGATCAGCATGGTCGATTACATAGAATCCGCTTGATCCCATATCAAAACTCCAACCCCCGTATTTGCCGATCCCTTGTAAACCGCGGGTCTGCAAATCCTACTATATATAAAAAAGTAGTGTCTGTGTGTGTCTGTGGACACTTTGCATAAATGACTCGAAAAACCGGGTTACCAAGATATCGGGACGGGGAAGGGTTTTCGGGCCCAGTCGAAAGGTATTTAGGGGTATTCGAGGGCGTAGACTACTGCACGCTTATCAGATTTTTAAGAAAATGACGATTTATACCTTATTTTAGTGTTTTTAAAACATATGGAAATGCCCTCATTTGCATACGAGGCGCCAGGCGGCTCATTTTAGATTTTGTCACGCTCCCAGTCGGTCGCTTTTGTCATTATTGGGGTTGAGCGTTGGCGCTAATTTGCTCGAATTATGTAAAGCGCCGAACCTCTCAAGATCCCCGCACGAAGGCCAGGGGTGAAAAGCCGCGTAGCGGCTTTTCAACCCTGGTACCTTGTTAAAATTACTTAGATAGCCTATTTCCAAACCGAATATTGCGAAGAAAAAATTTCCCAGGATAAACAAGGATCGGCGCTTCATTTTCTCCATACATTCCAGTACTGAATTCCAGCGATTTCCAGGTTGAAAACGTCAAAGAAAGTTTTTTACGATGACTCAAAAACTACTGCGCCGATCGGGCTGGAAGTTTCTATGAGCATTTCAAATTCCCTTCCCCACATCTGTTCCAAATTTAAATTCGATCGGATTTGAAATAGCAAAATGCCAGCGTGACCTTTTCTATTGGGACCCCCTTTAATTTAACGAGCTCGGATAAGAGTATGAGGAAATGTTCACCTTCCCGGGTCCACTTTGGCAACGTATCGGATCGGAGGTGAGCATGGCCGAACCCTGGAGGACGAGCGCAGCTGGGAACGACGGGCCATTTGCTCCCGTTGGAATGGCCTCCTCTAGCGACGGAATCGCCCCTAGGTAATCGTTTTCAGAAAGCAAGAATCGAAATATATTAATTGGCGCGGGACCTGAAGACTCAATTTCCGATTACCTGCTCTGACGATGGCCCATTTTCCGGCCTCTGCGCCCCATTGGCAGGCGAACTCCTCGTTGAAATCGCACAGCAGTTTCGCCGAATCGTTGATAATCACCTACGCAACGATCTAGTTTGGGGTCTTTGGTTATTGGGCAGAAAAGAATGCGGGCGAGCCCATGAGAATTGCATTGCATCGTGAAATTTGGTAACCAGACCGCAAAAAAAGGCCGTCTTGAGCTGTCGGTTTACAACTCACGCCAATGCGACGATCGAACAGCGGCTCGGTCTTATTTCCGATTATCAAAAGTTCAAACGGCTTTTCCGTCGTCTGTGCGGGCACCGCGGTACTCTTTTCGGGCGGTTCACTCGTTGCTGCGGTGGTATAAGTTGTAGCTAAACAAATTCAATTCACGACAGCGTCTACAGCGAGCATACGTGGTTCGGTTGTCGGTTTGGTGGTCGTTCGGAGCTCCGGGCTGATGGTGGCCCATGTTTCTCTAAAGCACAGGAGTAAAATCGGAAATCTTACAGTAACGCGCGTTTCGTCAGGATGGTAATCCAAAACGGGACCACTTCTATTTTGTGTACAATTTTTTTGGTGATTTTGAACCAGTGTTTAGAAATACAGAATGGTTTTATAGAGAGTGTAACAGCGCATTAGGGCATTTTCCGGGAAAATAGCACCTTTAAGTCCCGGTAAAAATTGTGAGGGAGAAAATCCGCACCTTTTTCGCAGCAACGAAGCGCTTTCGGATGAGATATCTAATAAATTTTTTGCCACCTTTGGGAAAAAGCGTCTTGATCGAGTCGGATTGAAGGCCGCTAAGGTACCTGATCGGAAAGCGCGTCCCTTGCTTGGCCAAATGCCCTATGTAACTTCTGCCGATATGAGCATAAGCCTCCCCTACCTCTTTGTTGTGGGCCTTTCCGGAATCGGACTCTTGGTGAATGATGGTTTGGTCCAAGGAATGATGAGCGGTGGCTGTGGGACCCCACGGGGGCCGAAGGGAAGCGCCGGTATACAAGGAGCCGCATCATATTTGATGTCGTCAATGGCCAGGATCCCTGTCTGCCCGTTCGGTGAAATTTCAATCTAAAACCGGAGTGTTTAACATATGAGGTTTTTAGGTGTGGAGTTTGGATATCAAACCCTACCTTAAAGGGACTTTGCATTGACGGGATCTTCAGTGACACTTTCCCGGGCATCACCGGTGTGTTCAACCATCCCGTACAGTTAAACTTTGTGCCATCCAGGTGCGTAAGACAAATCTCCAAATCGGCATTTCCTGAAATCAAAGCGTCGTCTGGTTTTGGAAGGGATAAAGAAGGCCTAGATCTAAACCACACGATCCACTTCCTGGCAAAAAGCCAACAGCGCCGGCCAATTGCCGGCCGCCGCCGCCGCCGGCCAACAATATGCCGTCACGGCTTGTTTAAAAAGCATCGCCAGCGCTTGAAATAAAGATTTCTACGTCATCTTGACGTCCAACCCGATAGACTAGTGAGCCAAGGTTACAAAAATTTCGCCTTCATAACCTACCGATTGCCCAATAATTGAAGGCAAAATTCGCGGTCCCGTTCTGGCATTCGATTTCGTCACTCATCAGGGAATCTACCTTTTGCCCGCGTTGCTCGACCAGTACGAACGGTTCGACTAAACATATGATCTGATGTAAAGGTTCGTTATTCTCCCCCTCACTGGGTAGTTGCATTGTCCCCGTCGCTGCTAACCAGAGAAGACTGTCCGGCTCGCCCCTCGCGATGCGCCATTTATCGACAAACCTAAAATGTTTTGGTCTGAATTTAATCACCACGGCGAAGTCAGGCATTTGTCTGGTATATGCGATGGCGCAAAAAGACAGCTCCACGCAGAGGCAAAAAGACAGACAGGGAGGCGCAGCTATTGCTTTGGAAAAAAGGCTCCCTTCTGCCAGTCCCTAACTAGTAAGAGTAACCAGTTTTTAAGATTTGCTCATCAATCAAACGCTCTCTACGATTTTGTTAAGTTTACTCGATTCAGTATGAATTTTGCGAAACGGGCCGATTCTAGTGCCGCTCCGTTGAATCACCTTTTCAAGGATGCCAACAACTTCAGAATTTTTTGCGTCTTTTCTGGCGGCGCAACGGCAGATTCTGACAGCGGTTGGACACAAAATGAATGTGCGCGTAAGCTATACAGCGTCAAAAGAAACAGAAACCCCAGCCAAACAGACCCTCCAACGCTTTGCCAGCGACAGTCGGTATCAAAGGCGCAATCATACGGTAGGAGTCGATGATTGTCGGAAAGCGGAGGGATGTCTTGCGTAGTCACGAACAGTCCGAGGGCCACCTAAAAAACGCTAATGTAGTTGCGCATTAGGTTGTGGGCTGACTTGCAGAATTCGGGAGACGAGACTATTGGATCCGGGTGAGGAGCCAATGCCCCTGTTTATACGCTCCATCTTTCATCCAGACATGTAGCAACACCGTTGCTGATCGTATCACTGGTAAACTACAATCGAAGAATTATGTCTGATCAGGAGATAGGCTTCTATAAAGCATTGAAGTGGACACAAAGCATAGGGGGTACGAATAACAGGCAACGGCAGGGATAGCGGTGAATTTTCTTCCATGGAGTCGTTTTAGGCGGTTTTTGGAGTTTGGCAATGTGACATAGCACATTCTATAGCGCTCTGAATTTTGAACAGGTCTCATTCCACAAAAAAAGCTGAACAATATTATTGTCAAATCTACTTTTGTCAAAATTTTCAAAAATTCGAAAAATCGATGATTTTTTATTAGCTATTTTTATTCATTGCCATTTTCAAAAAGACAGTTCCGCAAAACTAATATTAAAGTCACTTCATTTGCGATTCTCTATCGATTGATGCCCGCCGCGCAGTGATTTTCCACACGGGTTCAAGGGAAGGCGTTGCTACAGTAACGAAACGGTAACCGTGCGGAGAAAAATAGAAAAAACCTACGATACTATAACAAAAATACCCCTTGCTAATAAAAACGGCTAACTCATGCGGATTCATCTTGTAAAAAGCCATCAAAATAGGGTAGCCCCCCACCCCCTGAGATCACCTAAATGAAAGATTTTTTACTTAGATTATCTAAGGGGGTATTAAATTTTTTGACGCGCTTTATCTCGAAAACCACGCCAGATTGGCTTTCGGGGTAAACGGGATCGAGTTCTCCTCATTTTTCTACGTCGGATAGGTATTTTTTGAAAAGCGTAAAATTCTTTATTTTTGGAATTTAAGTAGCTGACCCCCCCTTTTGACCGTATGTGTCTAGGGGGGCGGTCTAACCCTCCCCTTAGAATTATCTAACCCCCCTCCCCTATAGATTATCTAGGGGGACCACTATATCCTCTAGCCCCCCTTAACTTCTATCTATATAAGATCCATCAGAATTACATTTTTTTCGAAAACACCTTCGGATAGAGGAGGTTTTTATGTCCTAGAAAAGCTAGTTACTGAAAATGTTGACCGTTTATCTTTTGCATACCCGGATGGTCTTTGTGGGCCCGGTTTGGGCCGCAAAGGGCAGTCTATGTAGATGATCTAAAGGGGGAGTCCAGATTGATCTAAGGGGGCTAGAGCTTGGTGCCAGCCCTGGTTTTAGACTGTCAGCTTTTAGACGAAACGTTCGTTTTTGGGCATTGAAGAACTCGATAAGACTTAGACGAAGAATAGGCCGGTTACGCCTGCTGAACTTGACAAATTAGCTGCCAGAATGAAGTGGGGGGAGCTATCTATTCTCGTCCAAAGAGCGAGGACCCACGATGGCGACAATGAGAACGGTTTCAAAGGGTCAACACCCTCTTGAGCAACGCCCGGTCCCACGAAAAGCACAATCGGCCGGCCCTTGACTGTGAGTGATTGGCGCATGAAACGGGCCCAGGATCAAACAAAAACATCATCAAATGGTGGATGATGGTGGGAGGTGGCTAGGGAATGAATTGTCTGGCTATTCCAAACAAAAATTGCAATATGGGTATACCGGCGGAGTAGGGCTGAAGCCGCAATTTCGTGCTTTTCTCTGTTATCCGTTCGCACTGCGAAGCAGTTTATGCCAATTTTTGGGCCTAATTAACAAGACGTAAATCTCGAGCCACTCTCACCGAGGATGTTAAAATGGGGTTGTTGGAAAACCGACTTATCGGACTTGTTTGGAGTAGAGCATATCGACGCATATAGACGCGACGCCGGTAACCTGCTAATTAGAATGCCAAACCCAATTTTAAGAAAAAGCTAGCTAAATTTCCTGTATTTTGCCCGTCGCATCATAATTTTTATCCTTTACATTCTAATTAGCATGTTACCGACGTCGCTTCCATATGCGTCGATATGCTCTACTCCAAACACGTATGATAAGTCAGTTTTTCCACAATACTGCCCTTTTTAACGTCCTCGGTGACGGTGGCTGAAGATTTACGTTTTGTTATTTAGGCCCAAAAATTGGCATGAACGGCTTTGGAATACGAACGAGAGGACGTGATCAAAGCGCGACACTGCGACATCAGCCGCCATCAAAAAGATAATTCGGTGAATTCGTGATCTATCAATTGATGATCTTAAGAAAAGTCACTCAGCGTATGTGTGGTCATAAATACTCTATTAAAAGCAAAAAAATCTGGATTTATGTATGAACATTATCGAACCCATTTTCCTAATGGACGGCCTGATAATATGTTCTACATACATATTTTGGATGATCATGCTGAAAATGAGGATAATCAAATTCGAACTGATAAAGAATTGTATTGGATTAAACTTCTAAACACCGCATATCCGTTCGGACTTAACGATAAAATTAAAGGGTACGGAGTTATTTCCAATCCTAATGGAAAATTCACTAATCAATCACCATATTTTTCGCTTAAAATCAAACCACCACCCCGTAACAGGGGGTACTAGAAAAAATAAAAACAAAAATAAAAATTACAACTTTGACTTTAATCAATATAAAATTACCGAATTATGCCCAAGCGATATTAGAAACCTTACCCATAATTTACCTAAAAAATTATACTCAAAATTAACTCCATACTTGGAACATCATAATCCAATAGTCAAAGCACTAGCTACAGCTACAATTCATAAATTCCAAAAACCTAAAAATACGGTCAAATCCCACAAAAAATATCCTAAGATACGTCTAAAAATACCATATTTTGACCCTAGTATTGAGAAAATTAATTGCAAAAAGATTATCAACAACTATTTGATTAATCAAAAATTTGAATTTAATAATGACTTTCAAATTACCTATCAATTTGGACCTACTCTAGGACAAATGCTATTTAACTATAACAAATACCTGAATCAGCTTAACAATTCTAGTGATAGCCATACCACACCCCTCTGCCGACATTGTTATAAATACCAAAATAACAAAAATACAATAGAATACGGCAGCCAAAAACATGTTCTTACTGGAGATAGCACCTCGTTAGCTCAATATTTCCCAGATACCTCTACCTTACTCCAATTAGGTACCAAGTTTCGTCCTAATATCTGTCCATCTGATAGGGAAATCCATCAAATTAACCAAAATTTTGCCAAAGAAATTGCTAAAATTACCAAAAATCGGTTTATCGAGACTATAGGTAGCGATATTATTGAGAAAATTTATTCGCAATGCTCAAAAACTGTCACTACCACATTAAACTGGAAGGAGTTACGTGTGTTACAAAGTAATTTTATCATAACAAGTGTAGATAAAGCTACTTCTAACTTTGCGATAATATGCCCTTATCTTTATCAACAATTCATTGATAAAGAGATGGGAATACAAAACGGCCAACCCAGTGGTAACATCACCTACATCCCCTATAATACCGAAAATCAAACAGAGATAATTAAACGGCATATTGATACACATCATTTGTTTAAAATTAATCTTCCCGAAAAGCCAATTCTACCAAAGATATACGGGATACCAAAATTCCACAAAAATCCTATAAAATTCAGATATATTACTGGCGCCTATAATAGTTCGATAAAACCTATTTCCATTAACCTACATCGATTATTGAAATTTATTAGACAACATTTTCAAAGATATTGTCATGTGATAGCAAATAATACTAACAAAACAGTATATTGGTCTATAGACAATTCTAACCAAGTTAGCTTGCTAGATAATCGAGATAAAAATAATATCTATATAGCAGACTTTAGTAGCCTATTTACTAACTTGCCACACGATATCGTTACCAGAGCAATTAATGGAATAATAGAAATATGTTTCAATAATGCTCAAAAAAGTTTTATAAAATTAGGCTACAAGTCATGTTATTATACTAATGAATCAAACGGTGATGATATCTATGGTAAGAAAGAAATAATTTATTCGGTCAATTATATCCTAAATAATAGTTTTGTTACCTATAAAAAACTATTATTCCAGCAAAACAAGGCATACCACAAGGGCAAAACTGTAGCCCAATGATTGCAGATCTAACATTAACTTATTACGAATACATATATCTTAAAGATAATGCTACTAACAATGTTATTGGACATAGATATATGGATGATATACTCATTCTATATAAAAATGGTGTTAATATTGAAGAATTCTTGTCGGAAATTTACCCTATCGAATTAACTTTAGAGCAAACTAACGTAGATAACAAAAGTGGTAACTTCCTAGACCTCAGAATCTTCAATGTTAACAATAAAATTCATACGGAACTTTACAATAAGGTTGATGACTACAAATTTAAGGTTACACGCCTTCCTAATTATCGATCTAATATCTCATATGCTATAAAACATGGCTGCGTGGAAGGAGAAATTATTAGAATAGCACGTAAATGCTCAGAACAAACTTCCTTTACTAAGCACCTTAACCAACTCATATCGCGCACTTACAAAATAACGGATATCCTAAACCTATTCTACTTAGTCTATGCAAAAAAGTCTTTACCAAATACCCAGTACTTGGCATTAAACACAATTGTGATCATAAAAATATTCAACATTTACTTTCGTAATTCTTACATAGTTTCTTCTTCATTTTAACCTTTTCACTACTACATTTCCCTTCCGTTTTTACTTTTCTTAGCTCTCTTGCCATAATTCCCGCCCGTAGACTACACGCCGCTACTATGCCATCCTTTACCTAGCGTAATCGAATCAGCAGACTAGGCTGTAGCAAGCAGAAAAGAAATGAAAAACCACTTCCCCGAAACACAAAATATAATTTCTTAACACTCCCGAACCAATTTTCCTTCTTATAGATACTTTTTTCCATATAATTTTACTATTTTATTGTCCGCTAGGGCTTCCAACTGAGGAGACCCGACCCTAGCGAATGTTTTGCCTGTCTTGGACAAAGGGTCGAAACAGGCCTTACTAAATTACTTTAACTAATTTAGCTCATTTGAGCAATTACTCTATCATCTTCTAAATTACATTACCACTCTACATTAATAATCTATTTC